CCCCCGCCACCTCCAGAAACGTCTGCTGTGCCGCTCTTTGCTGTGGGGCCCGTCCAAGGCCGCCCTTCCACGCAGGTCAGCTGTGCCCGGTTGGGAGGAGCCTTCTTGGAGCCAAGAAGGCCATTCTTCGAGAACGTTCGAGGGTGTAATCTGTCTCCTGCGGATCGTCTCTTAGTCCCGAGTTACTCGCGAGATCCCCCGGAAGTGCCGTGTCAGCCGCCCCTTTGTCGGACCTCTGTGATTCGTTAATCCCGTCCTGCCGAACCTCGCTTGTCAGTAGTTTTCGCAAACCGTTCGTTTCTTCTCCGGGATCATTTTAAGCGGCTGCATAAAGTCTTCCGTCCCACACAACGTGAGCTTTTCAGTTCGTGATGGTTTACTTCCGTGTCGTCGTGTTCTCCAGCGTGTGCCAAGCCTGTAATCAATGGGCCCCTGACCCACGGGCAGGGGGGCAGACTCTACCCGACGGCGGGAGGCGGTCTGAGGAGGAGCTGAGTCGTAAAGGGTCAGCGCCTTTGTCTTCCGTGCTGACTCGATTCCCTGCCCGGCCACCGGCGTCGGTCATGAAAACTGGGATAACGAGGACCCCTCTTTCCCCTGAAGCCTACCGTGAGGTGGTGGGTCAGTGCTGGGGGCACAAGAAACAAGACACGCCAAGCTCAGGGCTCCGTGGGGGCTCAGGAGGGACGAGGGGGCACACGCGTTGGTCCCCCCCGGAAGGCTTCTAGAGAAGCCCAGGGTGCGATGGGGAGGACGGGGTCCAGGTGGGGCGTGAGCACGAGTCGTGTGCCGCAGCTTAACTCCCCGTCACCGATGTCTTCGTCCGTAAGCCTGAGGGCTCACGCAGCCGACGGTCTGGCCTCACAACTCTGGGGGCTGGATGTCTGAGACCGAGGCACCGGCAGATTCGGGGTCTGGAGGCGAGGGTTTGAGCCCGTGAATTCTGGGGGTAGCGGACCCAGCATTGGGTTCGTCGCAGACGTTTCTGTCTCCTGACCAGAAGGAGCGGTGTCCTGTCCGTGGTGAGTGGAGTGAGTGGAAGGCCTGGGGGGAGCTTGCCCTGCGTGGGAGGGAAGGGTGCTCCTGGACCAGCCCCTCTGAACTCGTGTCGGGTATGACTTGTTCGAGGCACCCCGACCTGACGGACGTGAGCGCCGCTCCCGCTGGTCCGCATCCCTGGGCCCGTGTGCGGGGAGCTGGGCCGGGGGTGGCGGAACGGCAGTTACCAGCCTTTCTTCACCCGCAAATCCTGTAGTGTGATTCCACTGTAGGTAGAAGTGAGCACCGAGGCAGATCCCAGAGCGGTTTCCCCTCTTGGCCCTTGCCCTTAAGAACAACGAGGCCGGATAGCTTAATCGACTTCCAAAGTGCCAGAGCCAGGTGGTCAAGGGGGCGCTGGTGACCCTGAACGAGTTAATGGGGTTTCTGAAGACGGCTGTTAGCCACAGGCTGCGGCGCCAGCCCTCAGAAAACTCTGGTCTGGATAGAGCGACCCGCTCCGCAGAAAGGCTGGCACATCACGAGTTCCAGAGTCCCTCCTTTACGAGAAGCCACTCACACCCCAAGGGACAGATCTCGTGGGTCCCGAGCAAGCCAATACCGGATCGCGCAGGTGGGATTGCAACTGTCCCTGCATGTCCCAGGGACAGTTATCAGCAGCGGGATGGGCCATGTGTGTGCTTTGGGACAACACCAGCCATGTGAATGGTTTGGGGCAGGAAACGTTTTCAGTGCTAGCCGTTGTGATACCTAACTTCTCGGTGTGGAACTTAAAGCTGGCGTTCACCGGCAGGTTTCCGATCAGAATTTGAGATTATCTTTAGGGTTTGCAACACTGCATACAGCCTTTCCTCAAAAGGACTCTGGCAGCTACGGGACCCAGCAGGGCCTAGACAAGCAAGGCACATCATTCCCAGCTGGCAGCGCCAGGGTCTGGTGGCCCCTGAAGAGGCCAGGCCTGCTCACTGGGAGCGGCCTGACTCCCTCCCTCCAGCCTGGGCCAAACATTGCCCTGCGTGACCCCCACCCTCCCAGTGCCAGGTGAACTGCATACTTGAGTGAGGACAGAGGGGCTGGCGTTTCTCCAGAGCTATCCTGTCCCCCTGCCTGCTGGGGCTGGCTTGGTATTTGCAGCCTCCAAGATTCAAAGCAGATCGTGACCAGGAGCCTGCATGCGGAGTCCCCCATCACTGCAGGAAGGGCAGGCTGCTTCCCAGATGGGCCATGAGAGACCTATCGATAGAACTTATAAATGCCTCATATCCTTCCTGGGTTTTGTCTGCTTGGTCTATCCGGTCATTGAGAGTTATTGTCTGTGTGTCTAATTTCTTCTTCAGTGTTCTCATTTTAGCTTTATATATTGTGGAGCTCCGTTAGTAGGCACATACACATTTTTGTAAAATTTTTTTTAATGTATTTTTTTTAATGTTTATTTATTTTTGAGAGAGAGAGAGAGACACACACACAGAGTGTGACCCAGGGAGGGGAAGACAGAGGGAGACACAGAATCCAAATCGGGCTCCAGGCTCCGAGCTGTCAACACAGAGCCCGACGCAGGGCCTGAACCCACGAACCACGAGATCATGACCTGAGCTGAAGTCGGACACTTCGCCGACTGAGCCACCCGGGCGTCCTGGCACGTACACATTTAAAATTGTTAGTTTTTCATGATGAATTTACCCCTTTCTCGTAACGAAACGCACCTCTTTGTCTCTGATAATTAATTTTTGTCTTGACGTCTGTTTTGTCTGATACTCACAGGACTACCAGCTTTTCCATGCTTAGTATTTGCGTGTTATATCTCTTCCTAACCTTTCAAGTTCTTTGTGTTGTTATTTTTTGTATGTCTCTTGCAAATGGCCTGTGATTGGGTCTTGGTGTTATAACAATATGACAGTCTCTGCCTTTTAATTGGAATCTTTAGTTCCTTCATGTTTAGTGCAATGATTGATATGACTTTATTTAAGTCTGCCATTTGTTCTTTATGTTTCATTTGTCCTGTCTGGTTTTTTTCTTCATCTTTCCTTGCTTTTGTGTCTGGCTGGGGGGGGAGTAAATGGGGATCAACTAAGAGTTTTTTTCTATTCCATTTTCTCCTCTACTGACTTTTTTGTTGTTGTTGTTATAACTCTTTATGTTCTTGTTTTAGAGATTGACGTAGGGAGTAACACATGCCTATTTAGCTTATTAAGAATTAGTTTACATTAATAACATAACCTTATTTATAAGAGAAGAATAGTACCAGTGTATAATTCCATTTATGCACCTTCATTTTCGCTATTGCTTTTATACATTTTATCATATGTTTTATTCTGTTATAATAACGTTACATCCCTTGTTGGTCCACATTTCCATCTGTTATGATTTCCTTTTAGCCCTGAACAATTTCCTTTAGCGTCTCTTGCAGAATTCTTTTGCTTAGGTTAAAAAAAAAAAAAAAAAAATCCTCATTATTTCACATTTATTTAAGGATAATTTTTTTTTTTCTGGATATAGAATTCTAGCCTTTTTTTAAATTTCAGGACTTTGGAAATGTCATTCCTTTTCTCTTGGCCTTCCCTATTTTTTTACAAGGAGTCAGCTGAGTTTTCTATTGTCCCATTCATTCCCTGACTGCTTTCAAGATTTTTCTCTTTGTCTTTTTTGAAATTTACTGACAATCCTTGATCTAAGGGTGGTATTGGTGGTAGTTTTTCTGCAAATTTCAAATTTTATATCTCCACATTTTTTCTACCTTATTCTGTCTTTCCCGTCTGAGAACCTAATTGTACATGAGTCAGATTGCTTGCTAATGTCATACAGATGTATGAACGCCTGTTAATTTTTTAAATCATTTTCCTCATTGTGTTTCAGTTAGGATAATTTCTATGATAATATCTTCAACTTTATTAGATCTGTCTTTTGCAGTGTCCAATCTGCTGTTAAGACCATTAAATGAAATTTTTATTTTGGCCATTGGAGTTTTCAGTTCTAGGATTTTCATTTGGTTCTTTTTTTTTTTTTTTTTTTTTTTTTTTTTTTTTTTTTTAATTTTCTTACCACTCTGGGGATTCCCATCTCTTGGCCTATCCCATTCATCTTTACCTATACATTTGTAACCTGTTTGTAATAATTGTTTTAAAGTCTTTGCTAATTGTAACACCCGAGTCACATATGGGTCTGTGTCTACGGACTGTTTTTTCTCTCAGTCACATACTCCTTTCTTTCCACATCTGGTGACTTTCATTGTGTGTTGGACAGTGTAGATTATGCACTGTGGAGACTGAATTCTGTTACCTTTCTCAGTAACAGCTATAACAGCACCTCTGGAGCGTGTTGAGGTGTATCCTTGCAGACAGTTATATTACTTGTGACATATCTACGTCTTGTATATGCTTGTTTTAGCTTTATTTGGGTGGGTATGTTTCATTTTTGCCTTTAGAATGCAGCCCTCCATCCTGATGTATGACCCCGGCTTCTATGATTTGGACCTTCCATGTCTCCAGTGGAAAACGCAGGCTCCTCTAACTTGGCGGGACTTGAACCCCAAATCCCTCGTCTCAGCGCCAGGCAGCCCTCAGAATCACCACTGAACTCTGCAGCCGTCTGGCTGTTTCCCTTCCTGTATGTTGCTTGCATCCTTGTCTGCCCTGCACAGGCACGACTTAGGAGTCACTGCGTAACTAGCGCGAGGGGAATGGGCTCACAGAGGTTGGGGATCCTGTTGCATTGCATCTTCACTTTCCGGGATTTCTCTTCTCGATTTCTGTCATCTCTGCCATCACTGGAGGCCAGCTTCCAATTCCACGCCCTAGCAAGACCGCCTGCCACTTTCTGCTTGGACTCTGTCTCTCACACGAGCTAGCTGGGCAGTGCCCTAGGGGAGAATGAGAAGGAGCCTGGTTACGTGTGGGATTTGCTATGTGTTTCCCGTCTTAAAAGGTGCACACCACGCGGTGTCCGCCCTCTCTACCCCGTAGCTCGGGATGAACCGCGTAGGGCGTGTTCACGGGAAGCATTTTGAAATGGGTTGAGAGTCTTCTCTCCGCCATGAGGCACGGGCTGCTTCTCTCCCTGCTGGGTGTTCTTTGCAACAAAGGAGAGCAATCCGGCTCTGACGAGAACCGCTGATTCCTTTCATCTTGTGAACGCAACCAGGTCACGAGGACAGTGTTGGGGAGACTCGGGGAAGTGGTGCCCCACGGTGTTTCCGGGAGCCCTGGCAGCCAGTCAGCTGTGAGTGGATGAGAGGCCCCGCGATCTGTCCCGTGCTCTGGGGGTGAGTCCGCGATGGTGACCAATCACAGGGGAGGGAGACAGACGGCACTCACGGTTGATGCGATTAGCAGTGCTTGAGAAGGAACAGTCACCCTTGGAGACTGAGAACAGACTCCTCCCCGCGAAATCCCCGGAGTCTGGTCAGACACCATCCAACTACCAGCAGCCACTGAAACAGGTGATTCCCACCCAAAGGACTGTTCCCTCCAGAATGGCCTTCCACTTCTGATATAGAAGGTGGGGATTTCAGTGTCTTTTATGGGAGGGGGAGGAGAATCGTGCCCTTGGGGTCAAGTTGAAACGACCGGTATCAACAGTAAGCATACAGATGGCACTTACTCCGAGCCCGTGTGCTCTTATGAGCACTTTACGTACATCTTAGTTCTCTTCGTCGCACAGCTTGGTGAGCTTGGTGATACTGATTGTTTATTGTATGTCAGAAACTGTGATTTCTCAGAGGCTTGCGCACGAGTCGATCCGACGCACACGTCCCTGGTGGGCAGCTCTGTTCCAGCGGCCATCTGGGGACCCGGGCACGTCCATCCCGTGGCCTCACCCTTTCCAGCACGTGGCCTCTAAGGTTGCCCCCGGGGGTCATCTCCTTCTCAGACCACCACAAGGGGCAAGGCCTTGAAGGTTCACCTGGGGAGTCTTTGGCGGGCTGCTGTGCGGAAGTCTGTCACATGGCCACGTCTTACCGAGAGGGAAGTTTGGAAGCTGAGTGTAGCTGTCTGAGCAGAGGCAGAATAGTAACATGACGACGATGTTCTAGTGAGTACGTAGCCGTTGTTGCCGGTAGGTGCTGTCTTGTGTCTGTCTTTAGATACGCTGACTAAATAAAGACAGGAAGGGCGAGCAGTCGTCCAAGGTCCCACGCCAGTAATTGTCGGATGTGGGACTTGAACCCCGGGCGGGCAGGCTCCGGTGCCCTCTGATCTGCGCCCCATCCTGTCCGTCCTGCCTCTGGCTCGTTTGCATTTCTAGGAGGATGTGGTTATAAAGCGACAGGTCTGGCATCCAGGAGGAGCCAAGTCAGTGCCGAGCGGTGGGTGGATGGGGGAGCACAGAGGAGAGGACGTCTGCTCTCTGGTCAGGCCCTCGGCACGCCTTCCTTTGGTAGCTGTCCAGGTAGAACTTCCCTCCTGGCCAGGCTGCGAAGACAGCGGGAGGACCTTCCTCACGGCGGGTGTTTGACAGTGGACTCGAAGCTGCCCTTGCAAGTGGGCCGTGGGCAGGTGTGGGTGTGAGCCCCGCCTCCCACGCTTGATGGCTGAGCGACTTCTCTTGAACCTTGATCGCCTCGTGTGCAGAGTGGGTGCGCGCGGCCACCCGAGGCCTGTGTGAGCACCCCGTGGCGAATGGAAGAACGTGTGGCTCACGGAGGAGCCTCGCCGGACAGCCGGTGCCCTCCCACCCGGAAATTCATGCCTTGGGGGGACGGTAGCAAGGCGTGTGGGGCTCAAGGCCTTCCTCCTGGAAGCTATAAATACGTTCCCTTCCAAGTGAAATGCCACGCGCGTCCCAACAGGAAGATGTGTGGTGGGGGGTTGGCACCAGACCCACGGGAAAGGAGGTCACCCGTGGGTGACAGGCAGCACTGGCGATCCTGTTGTCACCGGGAGCCGCCAGAAGGACCGGGGACACGGCCGCTGCCTCCATGTGGCTTGAACCGGCTGCTCAAGACCAGTGGGCACGTCCAGACCGGCTGAGGCACGACACGAGCTGTCCACTGGTGCACCTGTGTGCACAGCTGGGCTCTCAGGTTCAGATGGTGTCCTCGCACCCGTGTCTTGTCGCTCAGCTCTGTCCCCTCCCTGGGGTGGCAAGTACGTGGCCCACGCCTGCATCCTGTCTAGTCTGATGGACAGAGAGAGGAAGGAGAGGGGGAAGCAGGGAGAGGGGCAGGGAGGGAGAGAGGGAGGGATCGCCTTCGTCTCCCAAACGCGGGTATCTCCTAGCGCGACCGGAGCCGATCCCGTGGCGGGTAATTGCATCCACCTGGGGGGCTGGGAGCAGGGCGCAGGTGGCCCCGGAGGGCGGATCAGCGTCCAGGTGAGCGGCAGAGCCGCGGTGCACGCTGGGAGCTTCCGCCCGCCCGCTGCCTCTGCCTTTCCTCACCCTCACCTCCTGCCCTGGCGACCTGGCCCGGCGCTGTCCTCCCAGGTGAGAGCAGTGGGCAGAGCAGCCGCCCGCCTGCCAGAGGGCCGTGCCCTGAAAGTGCTGCCTTCTGTGCCCCCAGGCCCTCCGGCGCCCCCCCAAGATGTCACCGTCCACGCTGGGCCCACCCCAGCAACCGTCCAGGTCTCCTGGAAGCCACCCGCCCTGACGACTGCCGGGCTGTCCAACGGGGCGAACGTGACCGGCTACGGCGTGTACGCAAAAGGGCAGAGGGTGAGTTCCGGTTTGGTGGCGCGTGGGGGCGGGGCCTGCCCGCACCTGCTCCTGGAGGGGTGAGCACTTGGGGGCGCCCTCCCTCTCCCCTCTCTCCTCCACCCCCAGGACCACCAGCAGTTCCTAAACAGCACCCAGAGGGGTGCCCACGGCCCCCGGCAGAACACCCCCAGCCCCCTTCTCTCCTGTCCTTCCCCCTTTCCAGAATCTTCTTTGCCCGCCTCCCACAATGTTTGCCCTGCCATGGGCGGTTCTTGCAACTCGCCTCAGTGCTGAAAACTCACTTCTCCGTCCCCACAAAATCAGCACCCCCCCCTCCCCACCGCCGACGGGCTCACAAACTCCACAAGGTGGTACCAGCGGCCGAGGGGGGCCCTCCTTGGGAGCACTGAGCAAGACAGCTGCACCTCAACACACGAGGCCCAACTCTGTCCTGGCCCATGACACAGACGTGGCTGCCTTGGGGGAGGCTTGGGAAGCTTCTGTCCATCCTACTGTTCCCCCGAGGACCCAGGGTGACCTAGCAAGTGCAGGCTCCTCTCTGAGATGGGCCTGCCTTGTCCTTAAACACTGCCACCTGCAGGCGGTATGCTCCCCTGCACCCTCCTCCCCAGGACTCCC